GAAATGAAAATGGGGTTAGCACTTTAACTTCAAAGCAAATTTGTGATGAATTTTGTTGAAATGTGTGGCAGGCTGATTAATGTCCCCTCCCCACCCCAAATCTCCTCCTCCTCCTACGAGAGAACTGATGGAGTGCTCAATTATTCGCTAAAAAAGTAGGTTTTTGAGCACTCTACCTTCAAAGCCAGATTTTGATATTTTGGCGCAGGCTGTTTATCTACCAAGTGTAACCCCCTCGCCCTTCGAGACCAAAATTGGTGCAATGCTGTTTTACTCGCTAAAAAAGTAGGTTTTTGAGCACTCTACCTTCAAAGCCAGATTTTGATATTTTGGCGCAGGCTGTTTATCCCCCAAGCGTAACCCCCTCGCCCTTCGAGAACAAAATTGGTGCAATGCTGATTTACTCGCTAAAAAAGTAGGTTTTTGAGCACTCTTCTTTCAAAGCCAGATTGTGATATTTTGGCGCAGGCTGTTTGATCCCCCGAAATCTACCCCCCTTGTCCTTGGAGACCAAAATTAGCGGAATGTTGTGTTATTCGCTAAAAAATCAGATTTTTAGCACTCTACCTTCAAAGTCGGATTTTGAAATTTTGGCGCAGGCCTCTGCCCCCCCCCCCCCAAACCTACTCCTCCTCCTCCAAGACTGTAGAATGCTCAGTTCTTAGCTAAAAAATCGGATCTATACTGGGAATGAAATGAAAATGGGGTTAGCACTATAACTTCAAAGCAAATTTGTGATGAATTTTGTTGAAATGTGTGGCAGGCTGATTAATGTCCCCTCCCCACCCCAAATCTCCTCCTCCTCCTACGAGAGAACTGATGGAGTGCTCAATTATTCGCTAAAAAAGTAGGTTTTTGAGCACTCTACCTTCAAAGCCAGATTTTGATATTTTGGCGCAGGCTGTTTATCTACCAAGTGTAACCCCCTCGCCCTTCGAGACCAAAATTGGTGCAATGCTGTTTTACTCGCTAAAAAAGTAGGTTTTTGAGCACTCTACCTTCAAAGCCAGATTTTGATATTTTGGCGCAGGCTGTTTATCCCCCAAGCGTAACCCCCTCGCCCTTCGAGAACAAAATTGGTGCAATGCTGATTTACGCGCTAAAAAAGTAGGTTTTTGAGCACTCTTCCTTCAAAGCCAGATTGTGATATTTTGGCGCAGGCTGTTTGATCCCCCGAAATCTACCCCCCTTGTCCTTGGAGACCAAAATTAGCGGAATGTTGTGTTATTCGCTAAAAAATCAGATTTTTAGCACTCTACCTTCAAAGTCGGATTTTGAAATTTTGGCGCAGGCCTCTGCCCCCCCCCCAAACCTACTCCTCCTCCTCCAAGACTGTAGAATGCTCAGTTCTTAGCTAAAAAATCGGATCTATAATGGGAATGAAATGAAAATGGGGTTAGCACTTTAACTTCAAAGCAAATTTGTGATGAATTTTGTTGAAATGTGTGGCAGGCTGATTAATGTCCCCTCCCCACCCCAAATCTCCTCCTCCTCCTACGAGAGAACTGATGGAGTGCTCAATTATTCGCTAAAAAAGTAGGTTTTTGTGCACTCTACCTTCAAAGCCAGATTTTCGAATTTTGGCGCAGGCTGTTTATCCCCCAAGTCTAACCCCCTCGTCCTTTGAGACCAAATTGGTACAACGCTGATTTACTCGCTAAAAAAGTAGATTTTTGAGCACTCTACCTTCAAAGCCAGATTTTGATATTTTGGCGCAGGCTGTTTATCCATCAAGTGTAACCCCCTCGCCCTTCGAGACCAAAATTGGTGCAATGCTGTTTTACTCGCTAAAAAAGTAGATTTTTGAGCACTCTACCTTCAAAGCCAGATTTTGATATTTTGGCGCAGGCTGTTTATCCATCAAGTGTAACCCCCTCGCCCTTCGAGACCAAAATTGGTGCAATGCTGTTTTACTCGCTAAAAAAGTAGGTTTTTGAGCACTCTACCTTCAAAGTCAGATTTTGATATTTTGGCGCAGGCTGTTTATCCCCCAAGTGTAACCCCCTCGCCCTTCGAGAACAAAATTGGTGCAATGCTGATTTACTCGCTAAAAAAGTAGGTTTTTGAGCACTCTTCCTTCAAAGTCAGATTTTGATATTTTGGCGCAGGCTGTTTGATCCCCCGAAATCTAGCCCCTTGTCCTGGAGACCAAAATTAGCGGAATGTTGTGTTACTCGCTAAAAAAGTAGGTTTTTGAGCACTCTTCCTTCAAAGTCAGATTTTGATATTTTGGCGCAGGCTGTTTGATCCCCCGAAATCTAGCCCCTTGTCCTGGAGACCAAAATTAGCGGAATGTTGTGTTATTCGCTAAAAAATCAGATTTTTAGCACTCTACCTTCAAAGCCAGATTTTGATATTTTGGCGCAGGCTGTTTATTCCCCAAGTCTAACCCCCTCGCCCTTCGAGACCAAGATTGGTGCAACGCTGATTTACTCGCTAAAAAAAGTAGATTCTTGAGCACTCTACCTTCAAAGCCAGATTTTGATATTTTGGCGCAGGCTGTTTGATCCCCCGAAATCTATCCCCCTTGTCCTTGGAGACCAAAATTAGCGGAATGTTGTGTTATTAGCTAAAAAATCAGATTTTTGAGCACTCTACCTTCAAAGTCAGATTTTCGAATTTTGGCACAGGCTGTTTATCCCCCAAGTCTAACCCCCTCGCCCTTCGAGACCAAAATTGGTGCAATGCTGTTTTACTCGCTAAAAAAGTAGGTTTTTGAGCACTCTACCTTCAAAGCCAGATTTTGATATTTTGGCGCAGGCTGTTTATTCCCCAAGTCTAACCCTCTCGTCCTTCGTGTCCAAAATCAGTGAAATGCTGGGTTATTCGCTCCTTCGAGACCAAAATTGGTACAATGCTGATTCATTCGCTATAAAATCAGATTTTTGAGCACTCTACCTTTGAAGCCGGATTTCAAAATTTTGGCGCAGGCTGTTTGATTCCCCCAAATCTACCCAATCCTCCGAAATTGTGGAATGCTCAGTTTTCACTAAAACAAATTGTAGAGCAAAGTTTTATGAGAAAATAACTTTTGATAATTTTATTGAAGTTTATGCAGAAAAGGGTGGTAAGTCTCTCCAGATAAGGCTTTTACTTTGCAAAGTTCAAATTCTACTCCCCCCCCCCCTTTGAGACCAGAATTGACGGAATGCTATGTTCTTCGCTGAAAACAATGCGATTTTTGAGCACTTCACCTTCAAAGGCACATTTCTGTTGTTGAGATGCGTGCACAAAGTTTGTCTTCCCAAATTTATCTCCTCCCTCTTTGAGGCCGTACTTCATGGAATGCTTAGTTTTTTTTCGATAAACACTGAAAATAGCCGCAAACTTCCCCGAAAATTGTGTTATAGCTCTGCTAGAAGTTCTACGTGAATGGAATACGAATTTTTTAAAGGCTAATTAGGCTATTTGTGTAGGAGGATAACAGACAGTGTTAGCAGAACTGTAAGCTCGTCTTGCAAGTGGAACTCAAGCAAAAAGGAGATCGATAGCTGGCGTGACTCCGTACACAACGACTGCCACTACCATAGCACTTGTAATTTCAACACATAGCAAGTGCAGCAACAAAATGCATAAAGGTAGCCGATAGGTAATAGATGATTCTGAAATCTAATGTTTTTGTAGTTAGCATGCACACATACACCTTTGTGTCGATTCGTAGCCGCTAAGCTCAATGTTGAAAAATCTGCGCTCCGCGGCGGGACCCATAGTGCGAGCAAATCTCTCGCCGACACAATGGCTTCTGGCCTCTCCTTTCGTCATCATTGAGCGCCGTTATATTTTCGCATTCCTTTTTCTGGATTCCTTCAGCAACTGGACCCTCCGTCACGCTGGGGTTAAGGATAGGAGGGACGCAGAAAACTCTGCCGTCGCGCTTGAAAGGATCGAATGTATATTATAGTAAGGATAAGGACTGGAAGCCGCCACGACTTTCCATTAAAAAAATTAGGCTGAAAAATATAGATTTCCGACAAAACTTTTGCACATCCAAATAGCCCATAGTTTCTGTTACGAAAAGGAAAAGAGAAAAGACTGATGGGTCAGCTCAAGTAGATAACACCCCACATATACGTTCTGAACCAGTGATTCGTTCCTGCATTTGCTTGGTATCCTTCTATATATAAAGCTGAATGTCTGTTTGTCTGTCTATATGTATGTATGTCTGTACGTATGTTCCAAATAGAAAATTCCTTTTCTGAACCGATCCGGACCAAACTTGGCACACATACACTTCGGGGCAGGGGGCGTGTCATAGGCTATTTTTCGTCATCGATCGATACCGATTTTATCGATCTTTATCGATTTTTTTGCTGAGATCACCTACGGGGCTGGGAGTTGGTACAGGGGGATAGGTGAGCATGGAGATTCCGAATACAATATTATTTTCAAAATTATCCACTACTTTTAACGATTTTATCGATTTTTTTGCAAAGTTTGAGCTACGGGGCTGGGAGTTGGCACAGGGGGGGGGTTAGTGAGCATGGGGATTCCGAATACAATATTAGTTCTTTGAATTATCCACTACTTTTATCGATTTTATCCATTTTTTTGCAAAGTTTGAGCTACGGGGCTGGGAGTTGGCACAGGGGGGTAAGTGGGCATGCTGATTTCGAAAACAACACAGGGAACGGGAAACGAAGTGTAGACGAAGGCACAGGGAAAGGCTGTACAGGGATAGGGACAGGACGTTTATTACAGTGTTTGACAAGACCGGGCGGAGCCGGGTAAGCCAGCTAGTTTTCTAATGAGGATCGGGTGTGGCACTGGTAGCAGACCCACAAGAGTGCCATGTTGCAAGAACTTCAATGTCTCACTCTCGTCAGTGAGGCCTCTGGGAAATCGATATAAGATCACCGATAGTTTTCCATGTGAATACAAAGCTTACTTGTCAATGCAGATCTTCTCCACTTGTGGAACAAGAACTTGAAGGAGACGCATGATGGTTTGCAAAGGAAGCTTTGTCTTCCATTGCTCCGCCTACTCAGCAGTAGGCGCCCGAACTAAAAAGATAAACATCGTAAAGTAAATGTCTCTGGCTTACCTTCTCCCGGTGCTGGTTTCTCATCTGTGGCATCAGAGCTTGATGGTGTACTTGTCACTTGAGGAGTGGCAGTCAATGTAGCTGTGGTGCCTACGAAAACAGATAGATATTAAAGAAATCCTTTAAGAAACAATTATAATCTACCTGTAGGGATCTCTGCGGTAATGGGTGCAGTTGGGCTCTTTAGCTGATCTACCATGTCCTCTCTAGCTACAACGGAATCAGCTTCGCGAAAAACAAAAGCCGACATATTCTAAGAACCTATCGCTTTCTTGACAAAAATATTCAGATTAATCATGTACTTCCCAAGTGCAGTGGAGAAAATCTATACAATTACTCCACTTACCCTTACTTTTTCTTCCTGACAGCGTCTATGATATTGATGCTGAATCCGTCTGTAAGTTTGCAAGCTGGTAATACCTGACGCTTGCGTATGATAGTATATATCAGGTTGGAAATTCCTGTAATCAATAATAATGTGCACTAGCAGAAGAAACACAAAGCAAACCAACCATTAGACTGGTATTGTACAATGCTGTTGAATACTACCAGTAAAAAGAAAACTAGGTGATGAGTAGGTGTTGAGAATAAGAACCAAGGGGTGGAGAAAGCTTCGACTAGGTGAAGTAGCTTAGTCGCTGCCACCATCGATAACGATTTCAAATACGGAGATACTGGAAGGAACATTATTGTAGAGTAGAAATTCAATCGCAGATAATGAATATACTTGCCATTAACAATGATTGTAAGCAAACAATCGAATAATGACTGGAGTTGATGAATTCAAGTAGTTATAAACTTATGAAACACCTAAATAACCGATATGACACAATACACTAGAAGCGTAAGCCATCACTACTATGATTGGTAAGAAAGCATGGGTACCAGTGAAGGATTGTATATCAATGGCTGCCTTGGCGATGCATGGTTTATTGAGCCGAACACCAAGGTTGCGTCTCCACTCAGCAAAAGCACAAGAAATACGCCCATGTGAATTAGACCAACGCATGCTGAAAAGGAAAAAAATTTAAAAAAAAAGAAGTAACAATACGTCAGCAACGTCTACACTCACTCGGATCATTCCTAGACTCTGTGATGTGGTACAGAATAGGAACCAGTATCTCAAGAACAACAGATGTTTTTGAAACGTAGAACAAGACTTTCTGAAAATAAAAAACTGCATGATTACACAACAACAAAAAGTATGGGTAGAGATCCAACCAACAGATTCTTACCTGATTATATTCACAGCATTTCCACAGAAGCACGAGTAGCTCCTGATGGAAGTTTACTTTTTTAGCAGAGTTTGGAAGATATGTCGATTGTAACGGGTTACTGAGTAACCTTATTGCTTCAACAAGTGGTTCACGAAAATCATTGAAAAGCAGATAATTGTACGGAAGACCCATGCCAACCGGATTTGAGCGCAGACAATATTCAGCAATGAGGTAAATAACGGCAACACATTCCACATTCCTATTTTCAGCAGATGTGAAGTGAGCGACCCAGCGAAGGCGACTCTCATCTAAATAATCTCCAGACATACTGAACTCAAAATAAAAGGATTAACATACCAGTTATGGGCGCATAGATAACTTCCGAGAAGCAAGTCAATAATAATTTCAGGATTTCTGTACGATTTTGGTCATGCTGGGCGCTGGAGCTCGGCTTATTTGCAAATCCAACTCCTGCTTTCCAGATAAGCTCACAAGTCTCAAGTGAAGCAAGGTCATCTACTTTTTCCTAAACAAATGCTCGATAAGTGAGACTAGAATATGTTTCACAGACCAATCACTAGGCTGCCCGAAAAAAGGTACCAAGTAGTACGCTGGCCATAGGCGTTTGTCCATCACCCTAGCATGACACAGAATTCGATGTGACAGAAAACAGGACAGAAGGAAAGAATCACAGTGGGCACAGAAGACCAAAAATACCCTCTCCATTCTGCATCTTCAAACATGTATGGAATAAGCCTAGTTAGTAGCCGTATACAGTTGATTACCTACAAAAAGCGATATTTTTCCAAGCCGAATGTAACTAATCTAAGTCTCTTAAAAAACAAAAATCAATCCTCACCTTTCACTCATTTAGCTCACTCGGATGATCTCCTGCATACTGTAATTGTTTTATAGCATAAGGTAGCAAGATTTTTTGGCGAATCGTCTCTGAAAACTGCTACAAATAGACATCATAGATCTGATAACGATGGTTAGAGAAAGACCAATGTGGATAGATGGATACGATGTAGAAAATTCTGAAATTTCGGAAAATTTGATTATAGGTATTCGGAAAATCTGATTATCGACTACCTTAGCTTTCTGACGTCATCAGCTGGGATCATAGCGAAGACATCACTGACGCTGTGAACACTATCAGGTGACCATAGCCGTTCCCAGAAAGAAGCGTCATCCTGTAATTCAAGTTACACCGATTTGCAAGCAAGGACATAGAATACTAGATATGAGTGATTAGGCTCAGATAAGCATACGATGCTGCACGTCTGTACACTAATTCATGCTTCTTTCAATTCAGAATCACAAAAAGATAATCACTACGGAAAATCCCGGAAAATTACATTTCATGTCTTCAAAATCTCCTGTAAACCTACTCGATTGCCAGGAATTGCATGTTGAAGCTCTTATCACACGGCAAGGGAGAACGTGCGTTCGTAACTGCTATCAAACCAACAATGGAATAGCAAGTATTAAATGGATGCGTACGATACACTACCCTAGAACATGACTGACTCGTACACCACGTTAGTGCAAAAAAATGTGAAAGCCTCACTGAGAGATGGGAAAAGTAATTTAATGCTTGCTAAACCAAACGGTTGGAAACTGCAGTTGTTCAGATCAGGATTACTACGCTATCCCTTGTACAATTTTCAAAACCGCTGTCATTGAATACTTTTTGTTACCGAAATCTCAAAAGGTGTAGAGGCAACTACGTACATTTTCAAAGTAGACCACTTCCAGAAATTTTTCAACCCATTTCCAGGAAGAGGAGCGCTCCAAGTCCACCACCAATTTCTTTTTTGATTTTCCGGCAAACCCCGAGAGAACTGCTGTCTAAGAAATTAAGCGTCTGAGAGAGTGTTTTGCCTCAATCGAGTTTTTCGATTTCGTGCTTTGGCTTTGCCCGATTTAGGTGATACAGTTAAGAGAATAGTAATAGAATGATTCTTGAAGTCTTAAACGTCTATAAGAACCTGGATTTTTGCACATTTCGCTTAAAATACAAGATGGGAGATAAACATGTCGATTTCTGAGTATACCATACGCTTTCATTGACTTCCAAGATTCGAAATTTTAGCGAGAATAACAGGACAGACAAAGATGGAAAGGGAGATACCCCAAAGATGGAAAGGGAAATACCCATCATTCCCACAATGAACGAGCAAACTGGAGCATGCTAGCTGGTTGGATCTGATAGGAGATCCAGAATGGGATCAAACACAATTGACTTATTTCAGCACAAGTAAGCGCAGCGAGTCGCCTAGTTTAATTGAAAGAATGTATGAGTGGGCAGAATAACGGTGCAAAAGCTTTTTTTGGATAAGTGAAGAGAGGGGAGGGGGAGACAGATTATCCCAGTTGTAGAGATGGTATTAGTTTAGCTACATACGTTTCTTTATTTTCTGCCCACGACTTCTGAACAGATGCCAAATGAAGTAAAGAAAAAGTACTAGCATTTTTTCAAAAAGTTCGGACTTTTTACATCCCCTCCTTCCCGCCGCTCCCATGAGACCGTCAGCTGGGGCATCATATCTCTTCAATTCTAAACAATCCATCTTTCTGACTACAAGTGATAAGAATACAGATAGTTTCTACTAAAAGAGAATCAAAAAGAGAAAGTGTTAAACTGAAGCAAAACAGAAGGAGAAAAAAGCAAAAAGTGATAGGATAAAGTCCATACCCACCTGTTTGCTTGGTTTTGAGGTGAGAACAATCCGGGCTTGCCGAAAGTTCACCTTACTACCCTGGGCACCCATTCTGAAACTCTCGCTTGAGATAACTCGTATCATGGAGGACTAACACTGCTTCGAAACCAGAAACGAGTGAATTAAGTTAAAATCGATAGAAAAAAGAAACTACAGCGTTGTCAACTCCAAAGAAAAAAACAACAACGACACATATCGAACTGCCGACGTTTGGCACAGCGATGTCATTTGCTTAAATGCTCTCATTGAGATTAATCACCCTAAGTGGTTCGCAGATAGAAAAATACAACCGCAGTATTGGCATACGACGATACGGAGGAGCGTGAGCGAGATCACTACGGAATCTTGGTGTCAAACAAGATCACAACTCATCAGCATACCGAAAGGGCTGAGAGTGGTTGGCACTTTTGATTACGAGGAAACTATGCGCATCTTTCTGGAAACCACAAAGCGTAAGAGAGCCGTAGATCATGAAAATATTAACTGGATTTGTAAAACCAAGAGAACAGAGAACTGGTGGTTGGTCCCTTCCCCCTTGTGGAATAGCACGACCGTGGAATAAGAGTTTATCGACAAAGACACAGAAAAAGATTACAAAATAGGATGCAACACCCGCACTGCCCGGCCAACACGTCATGCGCAATGAAAATTACAAAACGATACGAACAATAAGAAAAGAAACGGGAAAAGGAGTATCATATCTTATTGCCGGTTCGATCATCTTCTTCCTCCAGCTTTGTACACCATCTCATCTTTACAGATTTTGTCCCTCGCAGCACCCCAACTGGTGTTTTCTCAGTGAAGTCAAATGCTTATATTTACGGCCACAAACACCACATTCGAAATGCTTCACGGCAGCATGCACATATGTATGCTTTCGCAATAAACACCTTCTGCAAGCAGTCAAATAATCGAACTCGAGAATTCAAAAAGTACTGAAGCACATACTTTCCAAATTTAGAGCAGTATTGGCAGGCGTGCTTGAGCTCGGCATCTCTAGGTGGTGAATGTGCTTCTGAAGAACTCGGTAGGCAGTTCAATTCTAAACCAGTTTTATTGCTAGCTTCCGGTGTAGCACGAAGTTCGATATCCGCTTGTTTATGGTCATTTGCAGGAACTAAAACACTTTTATCGAAGTGGAAAAAACCTTAAGATCGGCTTACTTCGAACTTTTTCTTCGAAGTCATCCCTCTCCCATTGCAAAGCGTCAATCTCATGTTTCAGCTGACATTTTTGTGAACACAAATATTGAAGGCATCAGGAAAGTAATTGCATACCTCGTCGTTCGCAATAGAAATCTTGAGACTAAGAGCGTCGTTCAGCTTATTTGCTGTTGCTAAATCCTCCCGAAGTCTAGAGTTTTCCAGACCTACACGCTATAGTTAGCACCGAATAATTTTCGAATATTGGTATTCGAATGGTTTACTCGAACTAGAGAAGTCGAATATTCAGGAAAACGCACTTATTCTATTACTCGAATAGGCGAGTAAATGAAAAACACTTTGATTCGAATGTTTGTTTATTCGACGAATCGAATAAACAAATTATTCGAAAATTATTCGAATATTCGAATTTTCGAATGAAATTTCGAAGAAGTTGTTTATCCGATTCGTCGAATAAATAAACATTCGAATAAAAGTGTTTTTCATTTACTCGCCTATTCGAGTAATAGAATAAGTGCGTTTTCCTGAATATTCGACTTCTCTAGTTCGAGTAAACCATTCGAATACCAATATTCGAAAATTATTCGGTGCTAACTATACGCTTTTCTTTTAACCACACTTTCGCCTGCTCTTTTTGTTTTATTGACAGGCTTTCAATCTGAGAGTTCTTTTGCGAAAGGCTTTGCGAAAGGCGGCTGTTATCGACTTCGAGGCGCAAAAGTTTTCGTTCCTCAGCCGTTTCTTCTTTTCCATCGAAATTCTAAAGCTAAAAACATCTAAGAACGCCAATTTGAAGAATCAAATGTATTTGCGCATCCGTCATTTCCAATCGAAATGAAGATGACATCGTGCAACGAACCTCCGTGCTCTCATCAAAATGTAGTGGTCTAAATGCTTCGAACCCACAATTTGCGCACTTTATTCGTAACATTGTTTGGTTCTTTTTCTTCTGTGCTGCTGTGTCGAATCGTTTTTTTTTGCGCCTAAAAATATGGTCTATTCATCGTGCATAGTGGGAGATCAAAGATCAGACGGAGAACATACACCACTTATGTTTAGCCTCCTTAACGGCGATAACAGCGTGTTTATCCGCTCCTCCAAAACTTTATTATATTTTTCATTTAGAGCATTTTTCGATGCCTCAGACATCTCTAAGCGCACTCGCATTGTATCTAGCTGCCGCAAAGCCTGAAAAAAAGCGAGAGCGAATATCGAGAGCACTTTCAAGAAACAAAAGAAACGCTAATCGCTGAAAAAAATATTGCATCGTTGAATTTTTGGGAGGCCGAATTCGAGACCACTAAAACTCACACTTGACAAGTCGATTTCAAGCTGTGCCTTTGATAACCCTTCGTAATCCTGTATACATTCAATCCTTTCAAGCAGTTTTTCCTTGAGATCGTTCCAGATCTTCTGAGGTGCAATAAGTTAGATATATAGGCAACCAAAACCCCAAGCTTTACTCACCGCTTCTTCACTGGCGGGGTTAGTGAGACGAGCAGCGAATGAATCGCGCTGCAATTGCGCTTCGATCAAAGCTCGTTCACGATCTATAGATGACTGCTTCCACTTTTCTAACTCTTCTTGAATCGCAGCCACCTTTTTCTCCATTTCTGAAGTATTATAATATATATATATCTTATATATAAAGCTGAATGTCTGTTTGTATGTCTGTCTGTATGTCTGTATGTCTGTCTGTGTGTAGGTATGTTCCGAATAGAAATTTTTATTTCTGAACCGATCGGGACCAAACTTGGCACACATACACTTCGGGCCCCGGCGGGTGTCATAGGCTACTTTTCGTCATCGATCGATAACGAAAAATGGACTGTGACACCCGCCGGGGCCCGAAGTTATGTGTGTCAAGTTTGGTCCGGATCGGTTCAGAAATGGAATTTTCTATTACGGCGGAGCCGGGTAAGCCAGTTAGTCTCATATATAAAGCTGAATGTCTGTCTGTCTGTCTGTCTGTCTGTCTGTATGTCTGTGTGTACGTATGTTCCGAATAGAAATTTTTATTTCTGAACCGATCGGGACCAAACTTGGCACACATACACTTCGGGCCCCGGCGGGTGTCATAGGCTACTTTTCGTTATCGATCGATATCGATTTTATCAATTTTTTTGCAGAATTTGAGCTACGGGGCTGGGAGTTGGCACAGGGGTAATCGAGCATGCAGATCACCCCCACGGGGGCCCCGCCCCGAAGTGTATGTGTGCAAAGTTTGGTCCCGATCGGTTCAGAAATAATAATTTCTATTCGGAACATACGTACCCGGGCGGAGCCGGGTAAGCCATCCAGTATATATATATATATATATTAGGCTGTCCCAAAAGTCTTGTCGTTTCATTTTCAAAAAAATTGTAATTTTTGCTGATTCAACGGACTTGCTTCTTCTGAAATTGAGAAAAACGCAATTTTTTCCGCAAATTTCGCATGCTTCGCCAAGAAAAGACAACTGTTAAAAAGAGGAGAAAGAGCTGCATCGAATGGTGACTAAACTGCTCGACATTCTTTGTTCTATGAGGTTAAAATAGGGTGAATGTAAAATTTGGTCACCTCAAAAAATAAATTATAGAAATTCTGGAAGACAAGCCGGCTACAAAAAATTGCTTCTGTTGGCAAAAGGTTTGCCCAGGGGCGGTATTTATCAATCTCCCACTAGCTGTGCGGGCCATTGTTAACGAGAGCCCGCACAGGCGAGAGCGCCCTTCCCGCGATATATGAATGGGCGGCGCCGCCCCACTCGTCGAGATGGGGAACTGCTGCCCGACTGCCGTGCCCAACATGGCCAAACTTGCCAGATCGGACCATATTTTGCAATAGACAGGAGCCCGGTCACCAGCTTGGCTTTATATATCGCGGGCGCCAGTGCCCGCGCCTGTACGGGCAGTTACCTGTAGGGGAACCCCTTCCTATACAGGAGATTGATAAATACCGCCCCAGTATGCTGGTTATTAGGGCCCCTCCGAAAGTCTCATACAAAAACTTTCAAAATTAGTAAAATTTGGACACGGTAAAAACGAATGGTTGCAATTTCCAGCGAATATCTCATTACTCTACCAACGAAACACAATGGGAGTTCAGCAGCTGGAAAGAGGAAGAAGCAGATAAGTTCGCCTATCCTGAGCATGAGAAAGCGGACTTATCTGCAGGACTCTTGGCGGCGCGAGGGCGACTTTCGTTGTCATGAAAGCGGACTTATCTGCTCGGTCTGCTGTGGACTTATTGGACTTATCTAATGGGTGGACTTATCTGATATGCGGACTTATTGTACGGATTTTAGGGTATGTTTGTATATCAATCCTACTCATTTTGAAGCCTAGCGGCACACCTGCTCTGATCCTTCCTTCTGCGGAGCCCAATTCTTCACGGAGTCTTTTGATTTCAGTCTTATAAGCCGAGACTGTATCACCCATAAATTCTCGTTTGCGTGTATCCGATTCTCGACTTTCTTGCAATCGCACGCAAATTGTAGGGCAGATAAACTTTCAGTGTAAAATCTGCAATGTACTGGGCAATTACGCTATGGAATCCAGTCCAACTTAGATCGATTCATAATTACGCACATTACTAAAATGAGTCTTTCTAAGACGATTTTGCTAAGAGCAAAAGACTGAAAACAGAAAGTTTTATTCAACACATACTTTTGTACAATTTTAGCCTTTAGAAGTATTCAACTACCAAGGAAAAATCCACACTTCGCATAAGAAAGCATAATTCTGTGATGTAGTGAGGTAGCGCAAACACCGCTCGCTGTGTAGCCGATCTTGTTGAGCGAGGCAAGCTCAGATTTTATAGAATTTCTTTTTTTTTGCCATGATATACTTCAGATTCAGAATCTCGAAAGATACACTGCCTTTCAATGCTATTCCTGAGCAAACGAAAGGATCCCTTTTGGAAATTATTTTTTCCCTAGTGGGAAAACCACTATGTGTTTTCATCAACAAATGTACATTTCTACCTTGACTGTGTAGAGCAAAAGCTCTGTAATCGTTTTCTGTTCAGGATTTCCGAAGGCACAGAAGGACCACAGCGACCGATCGTTATGTCAAGATCCCTCGGCGCAAGATTATACAAAAATCTCATCTCAAGAATCATTTGCCGCACAAAGCTTTGGAATCATTACGCATAATCTCAAGGATAAATTCGGCTACTTTCTACTTTGCAGCAAGAGGAGTGATAGCTAGGATCAAGTCTCAGTCTTTTGATCCTGAAGGCTTAGAATAAAAAATAAATTTGAAATTCGAAAAAAAAAAGAATTGGAAGCATGAGCAAAGAACTAGAAAATTGCTCTTTTAGATTACAAAGTTTTACAGGAAAATACTTTTGCTCTGAAAACCAGCCCTTAAATGAAGAGCAAGAAGAAGATGCATCGATTATGAATCGACTCAAAATATCTGCAACACTTACGTACAAGTAAAGACTCCGAAATCTAGTGCTCATACCTGACGTCAGGGTGAAGATTCACGATCACCACTGTGCGGCTGTTCCCTCCTAGAGAGTCACGCAATAAGTGTGTTAACTTGGAGTCGCGGTAGGGGACATACTTCTCTTGTTTAGCCTTGGCTAACGTTCGTATCACTCTGCCGAGATGACTTAAAGACTGAAAAAGCACGCATGGAGTACAGGTCCATGAAATCAACATCATACCAAATCAATTTTGGTTGCTTCTCGAAGACGCGTCCCGCTAGTCTTCGCCTGACTCTGACGCTCTGAACCAGCCAAATCCACAAGATTCAAGGTGGCTGTTCTTTTATTTACGATGTTATTTAATACTTCTTCGGTTTTTATCTGTACAGAGGTAGTTTTAGTGGCTGCCTTAGGAACTGAACTTATAATGGAAAAATACCAACTTAAGTTGGCGCACTAGATGCGTTCTTGAATGCTGGTTCTGAATCTGCTTTCCTTTTTATGGAACAACTCTCCGAAAGAGATTATGAGCTTGTGAAGGTCTAGAATTATCAAGCTTCAAGTGGCGTGAAATTAGCGAAAAGCAGAAGGTCGTATCAATGTGACTACAAGGAAGGAACCTAGTGGAAGTCAGCAAAGGTGTTTTTGTCGAACTTTTCGCTAATTTTATGTCACTAAATGCTAGACAGATTTGGACATCCAAACACTCATAACTTCTTTCAGAGAGCTGTTCTGCGTAAAAAGGCAGATTCGGAATCAGACTTTAAAGACGAGACCAGTGATATACACTTGGCCTCCAGTCGCCAACTCCAGTTGGTGTACTCCCCTAGTCAGACGACTTACTTCTACTATGAAAATCGCATGCGAACGGGATGATTGACGATTCATCGCTGTTTCCGCCGTTCTTCGTGCGTTCCGGCCAAGTTGCACAATCTGTATATTTCTAAGTTCGCTTTAGAAATAAGATATGCAAACGTACCTTCATCATTTCCATGCTGGATTTAACTACATGTTCTGTTGCTCCGAGAATCTGCACGGTCTGCAAATGATTTTGCACGTTATGAGAAATGAAGTTTGCAAGTAATTTACAGTCTCATTGCTGCGAAGGGTCACTTTTGTCTGTGAATTGTCTAATAGATCAAAAAATTCCTCATTGTAAAGCTCCACAAACTTGCACCAAACTTCATATTTGAAGCTGTCGCCTTTCTGAAATAGCAGGGATGAATGCTGAAGATGCTGCATCAGAAACTCTCAACCTCAGCAGCTTTCGTACACAATTTTTGAAAGAGGGCTTCACACGCGCGAGGAATAATGCCGCGTTGAGCGCGATTCGTCAAGTCTTTCACATGTTGCGCTCCCAACATCGTGTGTGTTTTTCCGGACCCGGTTTGTCCTACAAAAACACGATAACATCACCTTCATAAACAGGAGGACTTCCCAGAACATAAGGCACTTCTGACTCAGGTAATAGAAAAAAAAACAAAGCATACAAACGCACCGTAAGCGAAGATTGTCCCATTATAGCCACTGATGCACCCATCTATTATTCGACTTGCCACTTGATTGTACAACTGCTCCTAAAACAAAAAGCATCTCATATATCAATACTTCATAATCTTGTAAAGTGACCTGGCCAACTTCTTCTCCGAAAACAGCATCGAAGGTGAATTCTCTGGGGTTTTTTGGATCGAATCTGGAAATATGTGGTTTGGTAAAAATTCACTGGGATGCTAAAATATTATAGCCCTTTACAAAAGCTCTTGTTATAACATGAATACACTGCTCCTCGCTGCCAGTTGAATTTTTAAGTTTTGTTTCGAAGAGTTCACATTTGAGACGATCTTTGTCCGTATTCGAAGAAGCAAGGAGTTACTTACTGTAGAAACCGCTGCTTTCGCAAAGCGACCCAGCATTGTATACTTGCAATGGAGGAGCTGGTTACAGATAAAAGCGTTCGAAAAAGGCCATGCTATATGCTATATGTATGCTATAATTTGCGCAACTGATTGAAAGCCAACAAAGCAAGTCTGAACTCTGCTACACACTTCCAATCTTTTCATAACTTTTTTTATCATCGGCTTCCAGATCCATGTGGAGGTGGGGTCTAGCCAACTCATAGCGTAGCACCGGAAATAGTCGTTTTTCAAATTAATAGTCGTTTATCAAATTGAGTGCCTCAAGTGCAACGCGTTATATATAGGAGAGGCGGGAAGAGTTTTGGGTATTCGCATGAAAGAGCATCTGGCCGATAAAAGGCGCAAAAGTCTGGGCTCGCTACTTGGCAGGCATAGGGACGTACGGCACGGTGGAGAAGACTTCAACATCAACTGTAGAATTCTTGCGTATGAAACAGAGATCTCGGCTAGGAAAGCACTGGAAGAATTCTGGATCACTACAAAAAATCCAGAGATGAATAATAAGAACGAGTGTTCATCAATAACTTCCGTTCTTCGCTTATTTCGTGCGACAGCGCGACCCGGTGGAGTTACGGTAGGGTTACGGTAAGGGGTCAAAATCACGGATTTGCCCGAAACTTGGCCAAGAGGGGTTATTCGGCCCGCCGATGCTAAGAATCACATTGGTTTTGAACCGTAGTGTCATTTTCTCAGTTACGGTAGCTACACGGTAACGGGTGTAAAACATAGTTTTGCCTGAAACGGGTGTACGGCGATTCGGACAATCGTGAAGCTTTGCACACACGACTGCCGCGCGCTACACACCCTGCTGCGAATTTTGCCTGAGCAAAGCACAGGGGAAAGATACATTTGCCAATTTGCGACTTTGACCCCTACCGTAAACCTACCGTAACCATGCAGGGAGACGTTTTCGTGCGAAGAAAGTGTGACACTTCTAATCAGCATGTCGAATAACCCCTCTGTGCGAAGTTACAGCGGATTTTGTGATTTCGACCCCCTACCGCACACCCATCGTAACCCGAGAAAATGACGCTACGGTTCAAAACCAATGTGATATGTGGCAGCGGGCCGAATAACCCCTCTGGGCCAAGTTTCGGGCAAATCCGTGGCTTTGACCCCTACTTTAATCGTACCGTAACTCCACCGAATCGCGCTGTCGCACGAAATAAGCATCGTATTCGTGTTCAGCATACCAAATAACCCCCCTAGACGAAGTTTTAGCGAAAATCACGATTTTTATTTTTTGGATCAACTAGTGTGGAATAGTACCAACACTTGTTTTTTGGTATGAAGGTGATCCTCCCCTTATACTGTGTTTTTTACTGTCCCATATTACAGAATTCGACATATATTTGATGTCGGCAGGTTTTTTACAGTCCAGTAGATTTTCCGTTTAATATAGTGTGCTTGCACTGTAGGCGAAATGAATTTGCGCGCGAATAAATAGCCACGCCAATAATGCCGGCAATTTGCGCGCGCAATTGACCGGCGTCACAGTCGAAGCTGTTTGTTCACGCTCAAATTTTACCGCATTTCACCTTCTGTGCAAGCACACTATATTAAGCGGAAAATCTACTCGACTGTAACTTGTCTGCTAAAATTTACAAAAATGCAAAACGGATGGCCTCCCACGGGAATCGAATCTACGATGTCCATCTCCACAGTCCAAGCCACTATCCATTGCACCAGTCGACCACGTACACTTTTTGTAGCGTTTCGCGCATTCGAAGGCATTTTTCGGGCTGCCAGGAAAACTTCCTTCATAACTCTTTCAGAATAACGTTGTCGCAGATATAAATTGCAGTCTAGAGTTTGCCATCCAGAGACGGTATAGGCGATATACATCGCTCAGCAAATCGTCACCTTAAGGGGGGATCGTTCCCTTGTTAGAGCCATTCAGGCCTCTAAGGAAGACAAAAGGCGTCGAAACGTAAGGCCGTGATTGGAAAGAAATAAAGACACTTCTCAAACCTGTTCGGCACAATAGAAATTTGGACATATCATAGCGTAGCGGTTTTTGCTAGCGAGAGAGTATGAAAAGCAATGCTTTAACGTGGAGGTTTGACAAGCTTATCCGTGTTATCAGGCTAAGGCCCGTATGCACGTACATCCCCGCTAGGAAGGTGATCTGAGAGGGGATGCGTCATATCTCGCTTCCCAAAGTACCTTTCTCCTTCCTTCTCTATCTTGCTTATGAAGGCTCTCATACCCTAATACCTGCGCATGATTGATGCCGGGTTACAGGCATGTTTGATTAGATTTTCACTATTTTGTGTGATCCCCTGGGGATCCCCACGGGACCACCTCTCAATCTCACTGCCATTTATCTTATCTTTCTGAAAACTCAATGAAAACGCTGTAAAATTGGTACTGTGGATGTACTACGGCACTGCTGAAGATGTTTATATTAGGTTGATGCAAAAGTTTTTTCGCACCAAACTCAAAAGTTCATAACTTGTTAAATTCTCAACGAATCTGCAAGTTCTGAATTTTGCTTAAAGGCAGCGTCCCACCAAACTTGGGGATACCTGGCTCTGGTAGTATTGTAATAGTAGACCCCCTAACTAAGCGACGGCTGAAGTTCGGAGCGAAAAAGGGGGTCTACCAAGCCTGAAATTTGCTCCGAAAGTGGGCCGAATCTTACGGTAGGGCCGAACGCCGCCCCTCCAAACTGCACGAACTGCAAGGCCAGAGTGCGTATGGCGCACACAGTGAAGATCGCAGGTCCCGCAACGATTCTGCGTCTCTACCTTGCATGCATCTCGTACTTGCCCAACCTGGCGTAAGATCCGGGCTACTTCGGGGGCGATTTTTAGACTTCGTAGACCCCCTTTCGCGCTGCAAACTTCCGTCGTCGCTTAGTTAGGGGGTCTACTATTACAATACTATCAAAACCGGGTACCCCCCAATCTGGTGGGACGCTGCCTTTAAAGGCAGTGGCTCGGCAAATCCTCGACCTTAAGTTTTTTCTCTTACCTGGGGTAATTCGATGTGCTGATTCTAAATATCCACCTTGAAGAGCGCGATATTGGCGAAAACGAGCAATTCCTAGGGCCTTTTTTTGGAATCTGGACGAGTGGAGCACTCCAAACCATGGTTAGAGATGCAGAGTCGTTGCGGGACCCTCGTGTGTATAGCATTGGGCATGCCGCCTCTGACCGTGGGAGGGGAATTGCAGGCTCGTCCGGCGCGTGTAAGAATAGCTTGCGCGCACGCATTTAGGGGCAGTTTTCTAGGCAGGGGCCGCATGCCGCGCGCTCGGACCTGCCTGTTCTCATGTCTCGGATGCAAGCAACCTTACATATCGATATTTCGAAGTGTTCGGTTTTGTCGAGCCACTGCCTTTAAGAGAGGAACTCATGCTCCTTGCATCTTACCTGAACTGTTCGTTGATGTTTACAAATGAAGGAGATAGAAACTCAAAACCAAAATCACTCAAAATTGGAATTTCTGTGTAAGATCATAAAAAATCGGAAACTTGCAACAAAAATCGGAGCAGCCAGTATTGTAGGTTCTTTCACCAGCTCTTTCTGACGGTGCAAAGTTTGCGCTGATTGACCGTATCTATGAATAGTTATGATTTTCGAGCAAGCAGTACAAAAGGGCGAATTTGATTTATTTTGGCATTTTTCAGGGAAATCTTAACTTTTTATACAGATGCTCAATCAGCGCAAACTTTGCACCGTTAGAAAAAGCTGGTGAAAGAACCTACAATACTGACTGCTCCGATTTTTGTTGCAAGTTGCCGATTTTTTATGACCCTACACGATTCAAATTTTATGTGATTTTGGTTTTGAGCTTCTATCTCCTTCATTTGTGAACAATAACGAAAAATTCAGGTATATACGCAAAGAGCATGAGTTTCTCTCTTGAGCAAAATTTAGATCTTGCAGATTTGTTGAGAATTCAACAAGTTATGAATCTGAATTTGGTGCGAAAGAACTTCTGCATCAAACTAATGGTAGATATAAGTGAAAACTGAGAATATCGAAATCTTAGGTAATCCCTGGCTCGCGAGCTAGGGATCATCGGAAAATTCACAATTCCATTTCTCCTGTTGAAAACATGCTTACAAGGGAATTGTCGAAATTCGAAGTGGACAAACCCAGCAAGCTGTATACTGTTGAACACTCCATAGAGGGCTGAGTAAATGTAGTGCTGAGCGAGTTCAAATATGGCGTCCTCACAAAATTGCGTATTTATAGGCGCGCCGCCCGCCGTAATATGGTGCTGCGCTCGCTGACTTGAGTGCGCGGACGAGTTTCGGATTATGCATCCCCTCGGCTTGCCAGCGGAGAGGAGCCGCAACTGCACAGGTGCAGTTGCGACTCTTGCGTGAGCAATCGTCCTCAGGGGTGGTTTGTAATACGGAAAAGGCGGATTGTGATACGTATCACAGGCCCATATCTCCTTTTAGAGACCACGTCAGCGGATCGGGCCTACGCAGA